ACCGTTGCCGCAAAGTGTGGTGCGCGAGGCACGCAAGAAGGGCATGCTCAAGCGAATCAACGCCGATCGCACAAAAACGGCAGGGTCTGCAAATGTTCACGTTGTGGTGACGAGCTGCACGCCCATCTGAGAAATCGTGGTGTCCGGGCAAGTCCCCAATAACGAACATTGGTTGGGCATGGCTGCCGGCCATACACAATCGGGTGCAGATGCGGCTGCGGCTGCCAGTGCAAGTATTGTATGAAAGACTCTGTGCTTTCAAGCGCAGACCTATAGCGCACGTGAGCGTTCAGCCAGATGATGCGTTTTGCATGATGCAACCAACGTCGTAAGACCGAACGGGGTGTGCCAGGACCAAGCCCCCAAGACTGCGGATGAGGGACACCCAATTCCGTCAATTCGCTGGGTTGGGGCCCTTGCAATGGTGTTCCACGGCCGTGATTCGTCTTGCGAAAACTTCAAACACACTGGGTCGATTACACACATTATGGATTCTCCCAAAAGAATATTTCAAGGCAATAGCGTTTTGCGTGTGGTCAATCCTAGGTGTGTGTCTTGCGTGGTTGAGGACTTATTGCCTTTGCCTGCGCCAAACACCCTAGCTGCGATGGATTCTTTGCTGCAGCCTACCTGCATGGATGTTTTGTTCTTTGTACATATCGTGTTTGAATTGTCGTGCGAGATAAGCTCTACCTGATTTGCCTTTCCCTCGTGTCCTCCCCGATGGCAAAAGCTGTTATAATTTCGTCATGATTTTGTCGATCGCTGCACGCTTGGCCACACAACGTACCAGCTACGCGCATCCGAACCGTCAAGACTTGCAATTGGCATCCGAGAGGTGAGATAATACAAACACCAAGCCGATTATTCGCAACTGGCTGCAAGCCGTTTGGTCCCCACACAGACGTCTGGGTTGAGTAAACGTGCTTGGGCAGTTCACATGCACGTACAGGCGATGCATATGACGGTAATCCGAAAGCACATGCTGATAGTTTGGACTGCCAACTGAATGTAGTAGCAGCACAGTGCCATGCGGAAAGAGTACTCCCTGCGCAAGGTGTACACGAATCTCGAAGCTGTAGCTGTGTCCTCTGCCATAATGAGAAAACTAGATTGCCGTCGGGATCCGTGGGTACCAAGAGCAGCAATAGCATGGTCTTCCTGCATGCAGACGCAGCCTTTGCACATGAATTGCAAGAACACAAAATCCTAATTGTTCGGATGG